CTCAGCCCTGGTGAGTTTTCTCTTGTTCTACCTGTCAGAGTGTCGGTAAGGGAGTCACTGAGGGTCTCTTCTCTGTTACAGAGCACAGCAGCAGCTGGAGAAGTGTCTTCCTGTCTGCTGAGAGTCTTCTGTTCTGTCTGTCAGACACATGGGGTCTGAACTAGTAGAGAGAGACAGGAACTGTTTTACTTTCACTTTCTCTTGTCGGGGATCAGAGATCGGTACTGTAAACTCAAGCTGTTTGGAATTCAATAAATATTTTAATAAGGTGTTTATTTAAGGTGAAATGATTGATGTAAAACCTGACCATGTGCTGATGGTATTGGAGTCACACTGTTAGTATTCCTGATGCTCAGGTGGGTAGCTGCGTCAGCTTGCGTAGGCTGCAAAGGAACAAGTAATGCAGTACACACCTGAAGAAGGCTCCACGGCCGAAACGTTGTGTTCTCGTTCTTCTTTTTTTCAGCATGGAATAAACCTATTACTTGTTCCTGATGCTCAGACACCCTCAGATATGAACATTTCCTGTTTGTTGCTCAGAGGCCGTGTTTATTGTACAGCTGATAATACCAGAGAGGAATCAGTACAGATGAACAACAGAGGAATTATTTGGCCCATAATTAGTAATGATTCCAGGTTCTCGTGCAGCTGTTTCTCCTGTCCTGACTGGGCAGTTTGTTCCCCTGTCCCACCCCTCTCTGTGTACAGTAGAGCCTCCCACTCCTGATTTTAAGTCTTAGTGTTGCTTTGAGTTTCAGTGTTAATTCCGAAGAACTCTGAGGTGTTAATATCTAACTGGTCTTTAATGATGACTAACTGTCACTGAGGATGTTGAATATTTTGTATGTATTGTGTTCCCTATCTTCACCCTGTCAGTGTGGGACACTCCCTTCAGACTAAAGAGACTCAGTTCCTCCAGCTTGTCAGTTTCAATGTTTTTAAACTAACATCATGCTAGTTCTCTTCATTGTGGATCACAGTAGATAGTTTCTAAGCGGTTTGAAACTATACGACACACAGATTTCCCAGCCAGGTGGCTGAGTCCCAAACATTTCTTTATGAAATGTGACATTTAGACTCACTACTGAAGAATCAGGATGGACTGAATGATTTTACAGTTTTGACATGTATTTTAAAATAAGGTGTCTGTGTTGTTTATCGGATGAGAGAAATCTGACCTTTCATTGAGGTTAAATTATTCTAAGAAACAAAATCCTGATGAAAAATAAACATGTACTATTGAGA